CAACAACAACAACAACAACAACAACAATAACAACAACAACAACAACAACATATACAACAACATATACAACAACAACAACAACAACAATAACAACAATAACAACAACAACAACAACAATAACAACAACAACAACAACAACATATACAACAACATATACAACAACAACAACAACAATAACAACAATAACAACAACAAAGCAGAAACATCAACTTGTTTCCATTTCCAGTAAAACATATCTCACATTTCACTTCGCGAATTTAATAATCTCCCTTGTGAAATGAATGGTGTAAAACGCTCATTCCTCCGAGTTTTGCGCGTTTATGTCGGGAGTGTTTTACGTAAGATGTGATGATTTCTCTACCTGCGAATCGAGCGGAGCATATACCGCAACAACAGTCACTTTGGCGTTGTGCGTGCGTGCAGAATTATTCTGGCTTAACTACGAAGCCTACGATGCCACCAGATAGATCAAACGACTCCTCTATATGCCGACTCGATTCTGCGAACACCACGAAAACTATTTTTGAGGGAGAAATGTCCAACCCGGGGATCGAACCGGGGACCTATATCGAATTCATTGACCGAATCAATAGACGTGGACTAAGTGAGCCCAACCCTGTAATACGCCAAGTATTTTCAATTCCCTTCACATCGCGAATTTCACGTTTTTCACATGGAGTAAAACGGGTGAAACCTCAGCGAATCAATATTAGAAACTTACACAAGAATCAAAAAAAGCAAATTACACCGAAAATTTTCCTACCAAAAATCCCACCGAATCGCGCCGCGCGAATTTTCCCAACGCGCATAATCGTTTATGGGGCTAATTCAAATCATTCACTTCAGCTAACTCTGCATAAAATCTAACTATGATGTTAATAAGACGATATTTCAAATTTCATACCAAAATTACCGTCAACGAAGAAACAAACATCCAGAGAAAACTGCCTCGTTAAAATTTATATTCCTATTAAATTTCCGAACATTTCCTGTCACAACAGTTGTGGTTTATACACGATATAAGACGCTAATGCGAGTAGTACACGTTTTTCCCAATGGTATGGGTATCAAAATCTTAACTGATGTAGTCGTAGAGAAATAATAAAAACGAATAAATACGCAAAACACTAGTGAAAAATATATTTCGCAATTCACTTCGAGGAAAACAATTCGTGGAAATTCACATAGAGTATCACGCCACTTCACGTTAAACGGGTTGTGAAACTCCACTATATGCTCCGTTCGTTTTCACCTATATAATTGGAATTTCGTCCGCTTCACAAAGTTAAAAACCCGATTTCCGCGTCGTGAAATATATTTTTTTTCACGGGTGAAACTCCATTCGAAGTAAATTTACCATCTTTAAATCGTTCCTCTTCACTGCAATGTGCAAAGCCGTGTCACCATTCTCATCGCGTTTATTAACCTAAAATTCATTTTCATATAAATCACCTCCACATCGTGAACATCATAAAACTTCACTTTCGGAAAAAATAAATTCCCAACGAACCACCAAAATT